CCCTCTCACCTATCAGGTTTGATCTTCTAAATTCCTTGTCACTGTCTTTAGTGAATTGTTTCAGGTTTCCTGTAACCAGTGTCAACCTGCTCCACAGCAGATTTGTGCTCCATCGTGTATGCCAGCTTGCCAACCAAGCTGTACGCAACAGCAGCAGCCCCAGATTATCGTTGTACAGCCACAACAGCAGCAGTGCGCTCCAGCTTGTATGCCCTCTTGCCAACCTCAGTGTATTCAAATGGCCTGTGCTCCGGCATGTCAGCCAATGTGTGCACCCCAATGCGTACAACAACAGACTCCTCAGATCATCGTCGTACAGCCGGAGCCCCAACAGCAGTGCGCTCCAGCCTGTATGCCTGCTTGCCAACCACAATGTATTGAGCAACAACAGCAGCAGATCATCATCGTTCAACAACCACAGCAACAGCAACAGTGTGCTTCATCATGTATGCCTGCTTGCCAGCCACAGTGTATACAAGCCTCTTGTGGCTCCAACTGTAATCAGCAACCTCAGCAGATCATCGTAGTCCAGCAGCAGCCTTCTCAACCCCAATGCGCCCCAGCATGTATGCCAGCTTGCCAGCAATCATGTGTAGAACAACAACAACAGCAGATCATCGTAGTTCAACAGCCGCCCCAACAGCAATGCGTTCAGTCGTGCATGCCCTCATGCCAACCTTCTTGTGTACAGCAGGCCTGTACCCCAGCCTGTCAACCAATGTGCTCTTCTCAATGTGTCGAGCAACAACAGCAGCAGATTATCGTCGTCCAGCAGCCACCTCAGCCTTCTTGCGCACCCGTCTGTCAGCCTAGCTGCGCTCCACAATGTGTACAGCAACAGCAGATCTGCGCTGCAGCTTGTGAGCCCAGTTGTCAGAGCTCCTGCAGTTCCAACGCGCAATGCGTTCAAGCTTGTCTTCCCAGCTGTGAATCCTCCTGCGTCCAACAGTCTAATCCTGTCGTTGTGGTACAACAAGCCCAGAACAATTGCCCAGCTCCTTGTCAACCGTCTTGCACTCCTCAGTGCATTCAACAAGAGCAAGTTTGCGCATCTGCTTGTCAGCCCTCATGCCAAAGCTCGTGCGGTGGCAACACTCAGTGTGTGCAAGCTTGTATGCCGAGTTGCCAGGCATCCTGCACCCAACAATCCCTACAACCTCAGCAGGTGATCGTCGTACAGGCACAACCACAACAGCAACAGTGCGCGCCAGCCTGCCAGCCTTCATGCCAACCCCAGTGTGTGCAGCAGCAGCAGGTCTGTGTTCAAGCTTGTCTTCCAAGCTGTCAGAATGCATGCAGTGGAAATACGCAGTGTGCGCAAACCTGCCAAAGCAGTTGCGAGCAGTCTTGCGCTACGCAGCAAGTCGTTGTTGTTCAGGCTCAACCAATTTGCGGACAAGCTTGTCAGGTAGGAATCGAAGAACTTTTTTTATTGCTTAATATCAAAACAAAAACAAATAGCTTCTTTCTC